GCACGCGATTTTGGGCCGCAAAGAACCGGCACGGTATGCATCGAGTATGGACAGGGGCGAGAAAAAAAAGCGAGGCTAAGGGACCGATTCGGGTGCCGGCTGCACGCCGGGAGGCGGAGAAGAGGTTTTCCCTGAACTCAGTGGTGGATTCACTCACAATCACACCATGAAAGTGAGGGGAGAGATAGAGGGAACAAGGAGGTGGTGGTTGCTGCGTTGTTGATAGTGGGGCGACTCACAACTTCATTTCCACACAGATCGTTGATCAACTGGGAGTGAGATTGGTGGACACTTGCTGTTATGGGGTGATGATGGGCACAGAGAAGATGGAGAAGGGTCAGGGGATTTGCAGAGGAGTGCGACTAACGATCCAGGGGATACAGGTGAAGGAAGATTTCCTTCCGCTGGAGTTTGGGAGTACAGATGTCATCTTGGGCATGAAATGGATGCAGCCTCTGGGGGACACCAAGGTGAATTGGGGAGCACTCACGATGGAGCTGACGGTCGAGGGAAAAAAGGTGGTAATCAAGGGAGATGCGGGACTTTCCAAATCCCTAGTTTCTCTTAAAACTATGGTGAGGGACATTCAGTCGGCAGGTGGAGGGTATTTGGTGGAGCTTCACAGTTTGGAGGGAGCGAGATTGGAGGAAGGAGGGGACATCCCTCTCTCCATTCAGCCTTTGATTCAACAGTTCCAAGAGGTTTTTCAGCCACCTCAAGGGTTACCACCGCAGCGAGAGAGGGAGCATGCCATCGTTTTGAGGGAGGGGGTATCACCCATCAGCGTACGGCCCTATCGCTACCCTCAGTTCCAGAAGGATGAGATTGAACGGTTGATTAGAGAAATGTTAGAGGCAGAAATCATCAGACCCAGTATCAACCCTTTCTCTAGTCCCGTTCTGTTGGTCAAGAAGAAGGATGACAGCTGGCGGTTTTGTGTGGACTACCGAGCACTCAACAAGGAGACTATCTCGGACAAGTTTTCAATACCCGTCATCGACGAGCTCCTAGATGAATTGAGTGGGACTGTGATTTTTAGCAAGATAGACTTGAAACAGGCTACCACCAGATCCGGATGAAGAGGGAGGATGTACCCAAGACGTCTTTCAGAACTCATGAAGGCCATTATGAGTTTTTGGTAATGCCTTTTGGTCTCACCAACGCCCCAGCAACTTTCCAGGCCCTGATGAATAGGGTTTTCAAACCTTATCTCTGACGGTTTGTGTTAGTGTTCTTTGACGATATCCTGATCTATAGCAGGACAAAGGAGGAACACTGGGAGCACTTAAAAAGGTGTTAGAGGTACTGCAGGAGCACCAGTTGAGGGCTAATTTAAAGAAATGTTGCTTTGCACAAACCAGTATAGAGTGCTTGGGCCATATGGTTTCAAAAGGAGGGGTGACAACTGATCAGTCCAAAATTGAAGCAATGCTAAGGTGGCCAGTACCCAAAAATTTGAAGGAGCTGAGGGGATTCCTAGGACTGACAGGTTACTACAGAAGGTTCGTAAAGGGGTATAGTTCCATAGCATGGCCGCTTACTGAGCAGTTGAAGAAGGACAGGTTCCTATAGGGGGAGGCAGCCACATCAGCGTTTGAGAGCTTAAAGAAGGCGATGACCATTGTGCCAGTCTTAGCGTTGCCAGATTTCACTCAGACTTTTATTGTGGAGACCGATGCATCCGGTTACGGTCTTGGTGCAGTGCTGATGCAGAGTCAGAGGCCTATTGCCTATTTCATCCAGGTATTAACTGCTAGAGCCAGGCTGAAATCAGTTTATGAGAGGGAATTAATGGCCATCGTGTTGGCCATCCAGAAGTGGCGGCCCTACCTGCTTGGGAGACATTTCATTGTCAGGACAGATCAGCGGAGCCTGAAATACCTGTTGGAGCAGCGGATGGTAATAGAGGAGCATCAAAGGTGGCTGTCCAAGTTGTTAGGGTACGATTTTGAGATCCAGTATAGGCCAGGAGTGGAGAACAAGGCGGCAGATGCCTTGTCCAGATGTATGGGAGAGCTGTAAGCAGTGGCACTATCCGTGCCTTTGATGCTCGATTGGGAGTCCATCAGAGAAGAAAGTTCTAGAGATAAAGATTTGGGAAGGATCAGGTCAAATTTACTGAAAGAGGATGGTAGTCACTAAGGGTACTCATTGGAGGGAGACAGATTGCTGTTTCATGGGAGATTTGTGATGCCCCGAACCTTGATCCACATCCCAAATTTACTCCAAGAATTTCATGGGAGCGCAGTCGAGGGCCATTCAGGAGTGCAGAAGACCTACAGGAGACTGGCGGCCGAGCTTTACTGGAAGGGGATGCATAAAGATGTAGAGGAAATGGTGGCAAGGTGCAAAGTTTGTCAGAGGAACAAATATCTGGCAATGTCGCCAGGACTACTACAGTCGTTGGCATTACCAGGACATGTATGGGAGGAGATATCCATGGATTTCATAGATGGATTGCATCGTTCAGAAGGATTCACAGTGATCTTGGTGGCGGTAGATAAATTGAGCAAGTACGCTCATTTCATTCCTCTCCTACATCCGTACACCGCGGTGACAATAGCCTCAGCATTCATCAGGGAGGTGGTCAGATTGCACGGAATACCAGAGGCAATCGTGTCAGACAGAGATAAGGTGTTCCTTAGCCATTTCTGGAAAGAGTTGTTCAAGTTGCAGGGAACAGTCCTGAAAAGGAGCACCGCCTACCACCCGCAGACAAATGGCCAGACTGAGGTGGTCAATAGGAGCTTGGAAACATACTTGAGATGCTTCGTGCCGGATACGCCCAAGCAGTGGGCTAAGTGGCTGTCATGGGCGGAGTACTGGTACAACACCTCTTTCCACTCGGCTGCACAGATGACCCCATTCAAGGTGTTGTACGGAAGGGACCCTCCTCACTTTGGTACATTTTGGGAGTAGTAGTACTCCCGTTTCTTCAGTAGAGAACTATTTCGAGGAGAGAGATAAAGTGCTGGAAGAATTGAAGAGACATTTACTGAGGGCTCAATAGATTATGAAGCGGCAAGCGGACGGGCATAAGAGGGACATCCAATTTGAAGTGGGGGAGAAGGTGTATTTGAAGCTCCGACCGTATAGACAGAAAACAGTCGCCAACAGGAGAAATGAGAAGCTGGCTCCTCAGTACTTTGGGCCTTATGAAGTGCTGGAGAAGATCGGAGCAGTAGCATATCGACTGAAGCTACCACCAACGGCGACCATACATCAAGTCTTTCATGTATCACAGTTGAGGAAGGCCATTGGTGATTATACAGCCAACCCCGAGCTACCAATGACTCTGACAGAGGATTTATAGGTGGTTTTGGAACCATTAGAACTGATGGGGGTTCGCCAGAAAGAAGAAGGAACTAAGGAAGTGTTGATCCAATGGAAGAACCTTCCTGACTACGAGGCCACGTGGGAGCCATACGAGAGGACGAAACAGCAGTTTCCGGATTTTCACCTTGAGGACAAGGTGGTTCTTTGGGAGGGCGGTAATGTTACGCCTGTGCTGGCTGAACCGGCCCAGGTTCAACAATTCTTTAGGAGGCGGAAGTAGCCCGCCTCCTTCCTCCCTTTTCCACCTATTAGGTGGGCCCCATTCAGCAAATATTTTTCAAAAGGGAAAAGGGTGGGGCGGCTCAAGCATTGGGAGGGAAAATTAATTAGGAAATAATTTGTATTAAAGTGCATTAGGGAATTAGGGAGTCTCTCATGTTTTGATTGATTAGAATTAGGGTTTTCTTGGAGGCTTGGCTCTAGAACGAATTCTAGAGATTGGGAGAGTGCGATCCTCCTCTCGAATAGAGGATCCTTGTATCTTTGCTATTTTTCTTGCATCTACTAGTAAAATACAAGTTGTTTTTCCCATTTTCTCTCAGATTTTCCCTATTTTTTTCCACTGTTTGCTGTTTTTCCTGCTGCGAACAGCAGTTTGCATCGGGATTTTCTATAGAAGTGATTTGGAAATACTTGAAATCAAGTATTTCCTATCATATTTCTAATATATTATTTATTGTATTCCTTGATAAATCTAACTTTAATTTGTGAATTTTCTTTTAATTTGATATCACATTAACTTAAGCCTTATGAATGACAGGAATGGCCGCTACCTTCTTTACTGCTCTAAAAACATCCTCGCAACATCTGCTTTGTTAGAATGTGAGGAAGCTTTAAACCTGGGAACTGTGACTGCGACTGAAGTTTTTATAAGCTTGAGAAGCAAAAGTATTTTGCATTTATTTGCTTCTATCGGAAGATCTTTGGGACTTAAGGTAATCTATAATTCTTGATCAACATTAGGATGCTCCAATTACTGGCATGCTTTGTTGGCTATCTACATGCCTATCTCATCCAGCAGTTAACTACTTCATGACTAGTCCAATTACTGATAACTTCAATAATCGATCAATGTGTTTGTTACTCATAATGCATTAGAATTAGTAAAGTTTTTAGAAAATCAGAAGGCGTATTCGGTGTTTCTGTATTTTTTTTTGTTACATAGAAGTTCTTGCGCTGCAAATAATTCACATACTGAGAAGAATACCATTTAATTATCTAGTGGAAGATTTGTACGGTTTATAATTGTAATGTGTATTTATGTTTGAGTTCATGTGTCATCAAGCTTTGTTTTCTTATTAGTTAATTAATGAGTTTTATAGTTTTTAAACATCTCCTCTTTCGGAGTATTTGGCATAAAATGAAATTGAAGAATCCCCCTTGGAGGTTCTCCTTCTTTCATCTTCCTCACATTTTCTAGAGTCATAGGCATACTTGAATCGCTATTCATCTTGTGAAGAAAGATTATAACAATTAGTGCTCTTGTTGAGATATTTCATTGGGTGCCATCTCTGATTTCACCCCCTCCCATCAAAATTTACGACGTATCTACTTCCACATTGCCAAATCCGCAACCACAGCCACCATGACAAAATCTACAACATTACCTTGCCGTCCAGATTTATTTTCTCTTCGTTGTCCTTAACCAAGACCACTCATTCTACCATGACTTCGTTGCCTCTGCTGGTCTCATCAATTCTATCTACCCTTGTGGTTACCCCTGATCTTGAACCCTGACTTAACCTCATTGCCGCAAGATCTTCTACCATTGTCCATCATCATCTTGCTCTACATATACCGATGTCATCGTCATATCTATTTTCTAGTCCAAATCTGTAGTAACTTCATTTATGTTTCACTCATTTGCCCAAACAAATCTCTGCCTCTTCTCGATCGCAACCCGTGCTTCATTTCTTAGCAAATCTCCTTCTAGCTCTATTTTGTTCTCGCCTAAATCCAGTAACTGTGTGTTCATCTTGCTGTTACAACATCTCTCTACTTTGGGATCTGCGTCGTGATCTTGTTGTGCCTCCGTAGCAAATTTTCCTCATCCAGATTTGCACTTTTCTGGTCTCCCTTCAACGAATTTTCCATAGTCTTCACAATCGGAATCTCAAGTGCAAATGGTTTTAAGATGCTGTACAATAGTATGATGAAATTCTCCTTAAGGCGTGCAAATGGGTGGAGTGACCAACATATTTGACATGAATGGGGTGACCTAGGAGCAAGCCGTCTTGATCAAGTTGAATGAAAATTAAGTTAAAATTGGGAAAGTATTTCTGTCGATAATCAGTGATTGACTAAGCTTGAAGTCAATTCAGAGCAAGACTTGGCTCCTACACCCCATCTTGTTGAAGAACCCCCATGACTCGGCCACAGCCGTTGCATAGGATTTTTTAGTTCATCAATGAATGTTAGGTGCTTTGAATTCATATCCTTATCAAAGAACAATAATCTTCTCGAGCTCCTTGGATGATTCAAATGGAGATTGACGCAGTCTCTCCCACTCCAGTAGTTCAATTATTAATTCAAGCACCTGCTCAAGCTCATTGTTTGATTCAAACAATTATAAAAGTCTACTCTCTTGCTCTACCACTACATTTTCTATTACCTACAATTTCTGAAGATACTCCTACAATGCCCAAACGGACTCTAGTCACATCAGAGCGTTTGAAGGAACCAATTGAATTGGTGCAGGAATGGCTGCCGCATCAATTGCCACTTGAGGATTGTCAGAAGGGTGTGCCTTTTTTGCCACCATTTGAGCTGTCATTCCATGGCTTGAAAATCCTATATGCTTTTTTTACGTGAATTTATCCAGTTTATTATTGATTCTACCTTGAGAGCAAGGTTTGTTTTCAAGTGGTGGATAATGATACGATTTATAATTGTAATGGGTAGTTATGTTTGAGTTGATATGTCATTGACGTATGTATGTTTCTTAGGTAGTTAATTAGTCATTTTTGTCTTTAAATATCTACTCTTTGGGAGTATTTGTCATGAAATGAAAATGGATAATTCCTCTTGATCTAATATTTTCCTTCTTCAATCTTTCTTGACTCTTTTTTTTTGTTTGTTTGTTTGTGTTGTTGGCACTTTTGAATCGCCTTTTATCCTATGATCCTTTAAGGTCATAACAAAGAACTCTATCTATTTCTCATCAGCATAACAGAGACCTTTTCACTTGATTTTTGTTTGGTGATACAAATATTTTAGAATAGATTTTTTAGGAGATGAAGAATGTAGGCCAACCATCACTTCCCCGAAATATTCATCCAAAAAATCAAAACAATACATACTATAAAGAGATGGCCCGTAAAAAGAATTGAAAACCTCACAGTGATCATCACCATCTTTTGCTGATTTTGTCATTCTCTTCCCCCCTTAGAGATAAGAGAGGGAGTGAGTGAATCAATGTTTTAGATGCTAGGTTTTGGTAAGGGAGGGAAAGGGATTAAAATTGAAAATCTGAAATTAAATTTTAGATTTCCTATGATTGAGGGATTTGAATTTTAAAATTCAAATAAGGAGGAAAGGAGGGGAGAGGTGGCTGATTATCTCCTTAATTGGAGCCCTTAGTAGGGAAGGAATTAATTAAGATAGAGGGGAGAGAAGGGCTGACCAAAGGAGGGGGAGGGAGGGATGTCCACATTTGATGTATGTGACCCAAAACATTAAATGAGATTGAGAATTAAATATGAAATTAATTTCATATTTAGAGGAATTAGGGGAAGGCTTTCAAAAATAGATTTGTTAATCCGGAAAGGTTTTGAAATTCAAATTTATTTGAATTCAAATTAAGAAACTTTCCAAGTTAACAATAGGCTAATTTAGGAAGGTAATTAAGAGGTTATTTTGAATTTGAAATTCAAAATTAGTGGAGGAGAGGCCGGCGGGTTCGGGGTGGAGAGGGTATGAAGTCGGCGGTTTGGAGTGAAGTTGGGGGAGGGAGCTGACGGGTTGTGTGGAGATGGGGAGGGGTGCTGTCGGTTTAGGGAGAAGGGGGAAGGTGACCGGAGATATGGAGAGGGAAGGGAAGATAGACAGTGAGCCCCGCACTCTTCCATTGGCTGACGGGTAATGTTTTTACCCTAACCTAAGGTTTTCTCTTCTCTCAAGCTCACAACAATGAAGAAGACAAATGCTGAAAATTTTCATTAAAAAATATCATTAACATAGTACAATGACTAAGACCTTAATATATAGGGCTCTAAAATAAAAGAATCTCAAAGACTAAAATGCCCTTAGGGCTACAACATAAAAGAGATCTCTCACAGAGGTACAAAGTTAAGAACTTAAATATAAATAAAAGAACATAAAATGCATCATAAATAAAGACTCTGAATCGTAGCCGTCGATCTACGATTCCTCCGATGATAGACGCGACGAAATCTCTTGCTGATGTCCTCATAAAAAAGATAGCGATTCCAATATTCTATGGTATGTGTACAATGGCATTTAACTTTTATTCATACGTGGAGTACTTGTGTCATGTTTCATTTAATTTTTAATTGAAATAAATAATTGAGTGCCCAGTCTAACTCAAAGCTGCACCATTCCTCAAATTGTATGCATCATAGCCAACTTCAAAGATGCAGTTAAAATGGGATAGAGCTAAATTGGAGCTTTAGCAACTATTTGCATAGGCTCGTCAAAATAAAATTTGGTTGCTAGTGTCCAAATGAATTATCTACTTTAAGCAATTTGATCAAAAGAGTAGCCGTTGAAGTAAAGTTTTTAACAAATCAATGATAGAACGACATAAGACCTTAAAAACTATGAACATCAGTAAAAGACTAAGTAGTAGGCCAATCCATGAAGGCCTTTATCGTCTCATCCTTCTCAATTCTATGCTAGAAACCACATATCCAAGGAAATTAATTTTATCATCCAAAAATTTATATTTCTAATTATTACAGGTGGCGTACACGATCCTCCAAGTTAAAGCTATAAATTAGAATATCTTCAAAGTATACTATCATAAACTTGCTAATGAATGGCTAACAAACTTGAGATATGATATGCATAAAGGTATTGTGAGCACTGGAAAGGCTAAATGACATCAACTTTCTTTCATACAATCTAGCTCGTGTTTTGAATTTCGCCTTCCATTATTCATCTACTGGTTTCATACATTTCTGGTGGTACCCATTATGTAAGTCAATATTGGAGAAAAATAAACTCTTCATGTAGTTGGTCAAATAGATATTTTAATCGAGGAATTTAGAATCGGTATTTGATTATAATCTTATTTTTTGCTCAACTATCGATGCACATTCACGGTATCATCTTTCTTTGGAACTATTAATGCTACTACTACATAAGGGCTAACACTCTTTTGAATCAAGCCTTGGGCAAGGAGCTCTCTCGCTTGGTGTTGTCGTTCTTTATATTAGCAAGGTGTGCATGTTTAAAAAAGGCTCTATATGGGCTTAAACAATCACCAATGGTTTGGTTTGGAAGATTATCAAAATTCATGCTTGTTAATAGATATCAACAGAGTTAAGGAGATCATACACTACTCTTTAAACACTCAGACTCAGGGGAAGTCACAATACTATTAGTCTATGTGGATGATAATATTATGAATTTATGACTGGGAATAATGAAAAAGGAGAAAGTGAGTCTAAGAAAAAATCTTACCAAGGAATTTGATATCAAAGAATTTGGTGGATTATAATACTTTCTTGGAATTGAAGTTGCTCACTCCAGTAAATGAATCTTCATCTCAAAACAAAAATACATTAAATATCTTCTGAATGAGACATGAAGACTAGCATGTAAGCCAGCACCAACACCAGTAGAACCAAATCTCAAATTAGGGGAAGCTAAAGAAGATCTAGATGTAAACAAGGGTGCTTACTAGAGACTTGTGAGAAAATTGATTTACCTTTCCCACACCAGACCAGATATAACATTTGTTGTAAGTATGTTC